CGTGTTCTGACACAATTTAGAAGATTTTTAAAGATCCGATATTTAGTGCTGACAGGAGCTGTAGGAGGTGGTGTAGTTGTAAATAAGGTAAGCTTAAGAAATTATATGTGAAATTTAAGAATAGATTCTGATATCAAATGTGAACAATTGATCTTAAAGCTTACATCAGGGCTGTTGATTTATCTGTATTTGCCAGTCATGTCTGATTTGAGCTAAAAAATGACTGACTGCAATAATGATCATTAAGACATTTTCTAAAAATGTCGAAGATTTTCATGCATTCACTGATAATTGGTGCAATGTGTAATTTATTAATGATTCACATTCGGAAAGTTCAGATCATGTGGAAGGTCAACCATGACTGAAAAGTATATGAATAAGAAAATATAGTGATATTTACTCAAATTGAAAAAAAGTAAGATAAAATAAAACCCATGAAAATTTTGGGTGTAACATCTTCAATTAATAGCTAATTAGGCACTTCTAGCTAGTGACATAACATTTTCATTTGATATTTGTGTTTTGTTTTCTTTTATATATTTGATAAGCGTACCTATATTTTTTTATTCTTAAACATATGATACTTATATTTTTGTTTTCTGTAATATGTTTAAATTTTGTTTAGTATTCTTATTAATTTATCTTGTAGAAAATTGATAGTTTTAGAGAGTATTTACCTGATTTAGATTGGATGAAAGAATACATACCACAATATGATGCTTTACAACAATTAGGACATTCTATAAGAGTATATACAAGACAAGTAACAGGGCCACAAAAAGTAGGTTCAATCAGTTTCTTTATTGTTTTTACTCATTTGTTTATTTTTGTATTTTGATTTGCTTCAATTTGGTGGCTGATTCTGAGGTTAAATCCCTGAGAAATTTAACCAGATTATGACGTCACAATTCATTCATTCATTCATTCATTCATTCATTCATTCATTCATTCATTCATTCATTCATTCATTCATTCATTCATTCATTCATTCATTCATTCATTCATTTATAGTAAATAATATTCAAACAAAATGGTATTTGAAATAGGAAGCTAATTTTTTAATACTCATAGACAAGCATTTGAAATTTTTGAACAGGATGAATGTGTTATGGGAAAATATTTTTGGTAAACGAGTGATTATTTACATAGATATATTATATTATTGTCATTTAAGGAATGGTTAAGGGGAAAATTGGAGAATCTAAGAGAATATAGAGCTGGATTACCAAGTCTAGAGGATATGAAGTCCAAATTACCCAGTATGCAAGACTTAACTGATTATTTTGATGAATTGCCTAAAGCTGATCCCATGATGGAAGGTAATTCTTTTCATGAATTTTGTGCATGAAAAATGTTAATTTTAGTTCTAAGATTTAATCATTTAGAACATTTTCATGGACTGCATTATGCATTTTTAATCAAAATATGTACAAACTGGAAAAATATTTTGAATTTCAAATAACATTTGTGGTGATGCTCCCCCCCCCCCCCACCCTTTCACACATATCCCCTACTGCTATCAATTAATGTATTTATATATTGTTATATTGTCAGGACTGTCAGGTGTGGGTTCTATACTTCTCTCTTCAGGTAGATATCATTCTTAACTTCTTCCAATATATTGTCAGATCTACTGCACCCATCCATTCCAGGGGTTTTCAACCTGAGGGTATTTACCCCTAAGAGGGTAATTTTGATATTTTTGAGAGTAATGATGCACTTTGTAGTCTAGGATTAAAATTTTTGGACATTATAATTTAAGTTGTTCTATTTAGTCAGGCTTTATTCTCAGACATGAAATGATTGCAGAGAAAATGTAGGGAAAATCATGAAATAGTAAAGATTTGTAGGGGGAAGGGAGGTAATACAATCTATCAAAGATACTGAAAGGTGTAATGGAAAGAAAAAGGTTGAAAACACTTGATCTAGGCTGATTCATAATGATTGTGAGGTGTCTTGAAAGGCTTTTATCTCAATCCTTGTAAACCTACAATACAAACTCAATGAAATTTCAATAGTGAAAGATATCCTAACCTGTTTCATAATATTTTTAGTATTAGTAATTAGAATAAATTAAATCCCATTTCCCACCCCACACCTGACATATCGCTTCACCTTCTATACTTATATTATAGCTTAGGTTGCAAATGTCAAGGGCAAAGATAATTTGTTTGTAGGAAATTGTGGACAGATAATTTCTTTGTTTAAGATTCTGGTATACAGCCTATAACAAATGTAGCAGCCTTAACAGCAGATGCCACTTCTTCTTCCAGTTCTGAGAAAGTAGTAAGTTTCCTTCTTTTCTCTCAAATTGTAATGTGTAAGCTTAACTATACCTTCAGTAAAGGACCATAGTACTCTATATTGAGCCCATAAAGTCCAATTTCAGCTATCTGTGATACTTTTCAGAATTCAAATACAATATCTAGTTCTCTTGCAATTCAACAAAAATGTACCATGATAGCATTATGTGTGTTGAAATACTAACATTTGACAAGTTAGTTAAAGGGATTGTAAAGAGTTTTGATTTTTTATGTGTATGATGAAGAAAAAGGTCTTTCTTTCCAGGCCCAACAGAAAGCTAGAATAGAACAAATACAAGAAGAAATGATAGAAATACAGTTAAGATATCAGAAAGAAATTGAAAGATTAGAGAAAGATAATAGAGAATTAAGAAAAAGTATTTTATTAAAAGATAAAAAAGATGGCAAGAGAAGAGTTATGAAGGTAAGCTGCAAACACTATGGAAACGCTCAAAAGCACTACCCAAGGAATCTGAATTGAATGGCGTGCACCTAGTGAATATCATTCTTGCTTATCCCAGTACCGATTAATGATTATCATGTTAATTTGTAAAGAGGCTGGATGGTGAAGCCATACAGTGTTGTCAACAGTTACATTTGATTTTTACTTATCCTCTGTTTCCATTTGAAGGGGTTGTAATAAGTTTGAATAAAATTGCAACATCCAACTGAAAATTGCAATGGTGCAAATAGATGCTGTCGGTGTCCCTGATACACATTAAAAGTTAAGGAAACCTTTACAATGGCTCTATTATTTATTGATTTTTTGCTTGTGTAATTTCAGAAATCACCTATAGATATGTATTCAGAAGTATTAGATGAACTAGCAGAATATGATTCTAATTATAGTACTCAAGATAATTTACCTCGTGTTGTAGTGGTAGGAGATCAGAGTTCAGGAAAAACTAGTGTGTTAGAAATGATAGCTCAGGCTAGAATCTTTCCTAGGTTAGTAGAAGACACAAAAGTACTAACTTTTCCTTAGTGGTAAAATGAAGGATTTAATTATGATTAAAAAAAAGATAACTGATTATGATTACCTTTACTAAAAAATATGTTCTATTTGTTTATGTGCTTCAATCCTTTTATGATCTGACACTGTCTTTACTTGATTAAGTTCATATGAAGTAATTGTTGTGAAACCTATAAGAATCCCTGCTTTATCTTTGATGTAAAAGCTATTTCAAATGAATTGATTGTTTCCTAAAATATCATTGCAGGTGAATTTCTTACTATTATTCAAAAATTAATGGCTGAAATTTGTATTTTTTGTAGAGGATCAGGTGAAATGATGACTAGATCACCAGTAAAAGTAACACTAAGTGAAGGACCGTATCATATAGCCCAGTTTAAAGATAGTAGCAGAGAGTTTGATCTTACAAAAGAATCTGACGTAAGAGAATTTCCTTTCCTTTTTTTAATTTGGGATTTAGTCTTATCCATATAGTGATTTTTTATTTAATAATTAACATTTTTTCTCAGAAATCCAGATTTAGTTAGTAAATATTTCAAATCTGATTTTGAAAATTGTTAGTAACCAAATGAAGTTTATAAAAACATAAATACTCCCTCTTTAACTTATACTGTTATTAATTGTGATTTCAGTTAGCAGCATTAAGACGTGAAGTTGAATTAAGAATGAAGAACAGTGTAAGAAAGGGACAGACAATTAGTACAGAGGTAATATACTTATTTATTGTTACTTTGTAATACAAGAAGCTACATGTCATGGAGTTCATATCCTATCCTAGATATGATGAAAATAACAATGTAAATTGTTGAAACATTGTGTATAATCAGAAGTAGTAAACTATAATATTATGTTGAGGTGAGTTCATACTGTGTGACTATATCATTATTAAAGTCGTTCATAGAAGACATTCTTTATTTCAGTGTATATCAATGTCTGTAAAAGGACCAGGATTACAGAGAATGGTTTTAGTGGATTTACCTGGAATTATTTCGGTAGGTATTTAAAACCATATTTTAACACTCACAATTATTAGCAATTTTTTAAAGACCCCCATCACAGTGAACATGCTTCCCTCAACCATGATCAGAAATTCCTGAAGGCAGTCCAGGAGGGTTAAAGCTCTTCGATCGATATGGTTTCAACTTTCGAGGAGAATATGCGGAAAAATTTGACCAGACAAGTGTAATTATACATAAAATACAGCCCATACACTTCTTGATATGTCATACGATCAAATCTTTAAAATCTATTTACCGTAACTAATTTATTTGTAGACCCAAACTATCAACATGGCTCCTGATACTAAAGAATCCATCAAGAAAATGGCTGCCAGTTATATGGAGAATCCTAATGCTATTATTTTATGTATACAAGGTAGGTTAAATTTTCTCTGTGATGTTTGAAACATGAGGTTTTGACCTGTTAGATAAACTGGATCACTGTTGTGTTCACTTGTATCTTTATATAGAGTATTTGAATTAAATGGTTTTTACTGCCGTGTTATGTACTATATCTATGCGTGTTCCAATGTGCTGAATGTATGACAGAGCCATTAATCCTTGATGTATTGAACCGAATTCTGATATGAAATATATGTCATTTAAAGATTATAAAGGGTTTGTTGTTTTATATTTAAGATGGTTCTCTGGATGCTGAAAGAAGTAATGTAACAGATCTAGCCTCTATGATGGATCCACAAGGCAAGAGAACAATCTTTGTATTGACTAAGGTTGATTTAGCTGAGAGCAACTTGTACAATCCTGATAGGGTAAGTCATAGATTGGTTAGATTTTTTAGGGTCAGGAATGTCATGAAGTGACTTATACGTCCTGTGCCTGTGCTTTCATAATATTTTGAATATTTGTAGAATGAAAGAAAAAATTTAGTTCTCAACTCTATGTGGTCAGAGACTAAAATGTATGTTCTATGTGGAATAGATATATGACACTATGTATATAAAAATGAACTATTTGCTTGCAGATTAAGTCTATATTAGAAGGTAGATTATTCCCAATGAAAGCTCTGGGATATTTCGCTGTAGTAACTGGTAAAGGTAATAATAATGATAGTATATCTACTATTAAAGACTATGAAGAAAATTTCTTTAGAAGTTCCCGATTATTCAGGTTAGTGATATGATGTAAATATGTTATATTATGAAAATACAGGGAAAACAACTTTACCTCAAAAGAGTCCTACCTAACAGCTGGTCAAAATCTCTTCCCATTGATCACTCCAAATTTTTTTTCATTGACAGCTAAGTCAACAAGATTACAACCTATTTTCCAATGAAGCCAAGCAAATTACAAAGCAGTTTTCTATGCAGTCGATTGAATGCATTCAACATGAGTTATTGAAGCATATAAAAATGTTTTTGGGCATGGAAATGTGTTCACCATGTTTTCAGAAATTTCTTTGGGAAAAAAAGGAAATGTTATCCAACCTATTGATTAATATTGTAGAGATGGCGTATTAAAACCAACTCAGATGACAACTCAGAATCTAAGTATGGCTGTATCTCAAGTTTTCTGGAAAATGGTGAAAGAAACAGTGGAACAACAGACTGATGCTTTTAGAGGTTTGTTTACATTAAACACATTTTATCTAAAAATACCAGCATAAGTTATAAAATTGTCAATTTTGTCATGAGCTAATGTCATTTGTGTTGTGCTGAAACATACTGTCTCTTAGAGTCATACCTGAAAAAGCCCATAAACTTTGCAACCCTGGAATGTAAGTACTATTACTACTATTTTCTCACAAACAGTATTGTTTATTTTCAGCTACAAGATTTAATTTAGAAACAGAATGGAAGAATACATTTCCTAGTTTAAGAGAATTAGATAGGGTATGATATATTTCAACTTGTATTCAAACTTTTAATTATCATTTTGTTTATGTCAGAGGAAGGTACAGGTTCATTTAGAATTTAGTGGCCTATTTTGTCAAAATTTTGTCGAAATTTGACTTAAGATTTCGAGAACAGATCACCAACTGCCACTAGGTTTGTCATATCGTAGAGGCCACACTGCACCACACCACACCACTTCTCACTACATCACACCGCACCACACCACACTGCATCTCACCACACAGCACCGCACAGCACCACATCACACTGCACACCACATCTCACCACATCACACTGCATCACAACACAACACATCTCATCACACCACATCACCGCATATCACACCACACCGCTTGGTTTTTTTTTGTATTTTGTACATATTATGATACTTATTGTTACTTTTATTTTATTTTCTCTCTTTCACAATAGGATGAATTATTTGAAAAAGCTAGAGGTGAAATTTTAGATGAAGTTATAAATCTAAGTCAAGTAACACCTAAACAATGGTAAGAATAATTTTTGAGGGGACCAGGGAAATTTTAAGTTTGGTTATACCATAGTGTCCTAGTGTCTAATTGGCAAAAGATATGAAATTTAACTGTATGATTTATTTTTGCAGGGAGGATGCCTTCTATGCGAAATTATGGGAGAAGAATTCTAATTTTGTGATAGAGAATATTTATTTACCAGCTGCTCAGAAAACTGATGCAGGGTAAGATTGCCTTGAGGTGATTTTTTCATCTTGTGAAAACACTCCATTTTCATTCTTATGCACTTAATTCCATACATCATTTCAATAGATTGCCTTGTCATCATTATGTTAAAGTAATATATAATGGCCCTAAATAATGAAAAGGGCTGTTGATTTATCTGTATTTGCCAGTCATGTCTGAGTCAGGCTAGAAAATGACTGACGGTTGCGTTGATCTGTGCTAGATTCTCTGGATTTTTCATGCATTCTTGATGAAAATTGGTACAAGATTATAATTTACTTGTTAAAATGCCTGGTTGGAAATTTCTAAAATCAACAGCCCTGGTAAGTTAAGTTACAGATATTAGAGTATAATATATAACTATGTATGTCATCAAATCACAGATAGTTTCTCAAGGTGATATAGCTCTGATATCACAACCTTACTGTATATATTATTTCAGAACATTTAATACAATAGTTGATATTAAGTTAAAACAATGGGCTGAAGATCTACTTCCTAAAAAATGTGTTGAGGTAAGAAGAAAATGTCTAAATACAATATCAATCAGGATTTGATTTCTGACTGCAACAAACAATCAGTCTGTTTAAAATGCTGATGTGGATGTTTTGTTTCATGCTTTTTCTATGGGTTGGTAGATCTGATATTCATACTATGAGAAATAATTAAGTATGTCATGAAGGGTTGCCCAGAAAATAATATGAAATGAAAAATGGTTGCTTTAGCAAATTTATTAGATGCATTTGTATACAATTGTGAGTAAGCTCACTAAAATGTTTCTAATTATACATATTCCAAGGTGAAACATGTACAGAACAGTGGGGTATGAAACTTGTGTCTGCTTATTGTAGCTTCTGATATATAATTAAATAATGTATATGAATTTTGTCAATTATTGATTTCATCTTTTCACAGGTTGGTTGGGAGACCTTACATCAACAATTTGAGAAACTAGTTAATAAAGATCAGGCTAGAAAAGGTCATGATGAAATATTTGATAATATAAAACAGTCAGTATTAGTCAGAGCTGCTAAAGATCATTCATGGGAAGGAAAAGCTGAAGACAGTTTGGTGAGTGTTGGAATGATTACTTGAGAACTATCATATTAATCTTCTTCGGCAAATTCAATTTATTCCGGTTTTATATATTTTAAAATTTATTGATAATATAAAAGGGACAGGTTGGCCATCCATTTGACCAATCATACTAATCAGTAATAGTGATCGCAGCTCACTGTCAAAATTTTAGCCTTCAAAGCCATGTGTATCCGCGCTGATATCAACGCTTGTATGTGGGAAATTATGTCAAATTACTTGTTAATATTCTAGAGAGTGATACAGAATAATATTCTAGAAGATAGATCAGTAACAGATAAACAACAGTGGGATGCAGCCATTAAATTTATGGAGGATAGTTTGAAAGGAAAATTACAACAAGGTTAGTAAATTACAATGAAAAACATAGTGAAAATTATTGAAAGAGACAATATAGTTTTGATATTTTGATTTTCTTACTTAATCAATGGTAACTTGCAAACTTAACTAGCTATGTGGACTCTCAGAATGCTCTTTGTTTAAATCAGGTCATTATCACAAAGGAATGTTATGTTTAAAATGAATGTATATTTAGGCATTATGCATCACCAGGAATGGCATCAGAATTTTCTTACCTTGAGGAGTACGAACACATATCACCTTATGTAGACGACAATCCAACTCGATATCGACAACTCATTGTTAGCCCTTTATCTCTTGTGCATTTCTCATTAATATTGATTGTCTTTATTTTAGCTGAAGATGCATTAAAAGAATTAACAGGACCAGGTTTTAGAGAACAATGGTTACAATGGAAATCACGCACACCAGATAACTGGAATCGTATTGCTACTAATAATGAACTGGAAAAATTACTACATTCTAAGAGGGTAGGTTTGATCAGTGGTATACTAATCAATTCATTTAGTTTCTGATGTTCTGTAGCACAGTGATTGAAAGTTTTGGTTCTTTAATGATGTCATTTGCTTGGTTATATCAAATAAAGGGTGATCATGGGTTCTAATCTAGGTAGGCATGTGCAAGTCTGGTAACCTTGGTTGAGTCATCTTCATTCATAAATCCTGTTGACCAAGTTGTTAATGGGTACAGATAAGCCAGCTATGGTAGAAAGGATCCTCATGGACCTATTTATCCTTGTAAACTATAGTTGTTTCTTTCTTATTTTCTATCCTGGTTTATCATCCTATGTTTCATATTCTGAAATAGTCTTGCAACAGCTGATTTAACTTTTGAAAAAGAAGCCAAATTGTATTTTCTACTACACTGTAAAGACTAAATGATATACCATATTTATTACAGCATCATCAAGCACACTTATCTCTAGATGAACTAACTACAGTACGTAAAAATTTACAGACACAAAATATCGAGGTGGATAATGACTTTGTAAGTAGCACTATTCTCTAAAACCTTGACCCAGTTTCTAAATAATGCGTAGAACTAATCTTGCACTTTAAGTGAAGAAAAATGTTATTTTTGTTATCAAAGGGTTAATTTATAACATTTATGCTCGTATGAGAAACAGGGTCCTGAAGTCTTGAATATGTTTTATTTCATGGAATGGACTGTAGTTAATTGGATCCAGCTGTAAATGGGTATGAATAATTCGAGAAAGAACAATGCCAAGATTTAGCTGAGGATCAGATGTAGACGGAAATATCTAAGTCTTAATTTCCTCATTTTATGGCATACGTAGTTTCACTGAACAGAAATCTAAATAAAATCATGACAATTTGATCTTTAAAATGAAACATTACTATATCACATATGATATTTTTATATTATGTTCCAGATACGAGAAACGTGGTATCATGTCTACAGAAAAAATTTCTTCCAGAATTCTCTTAGTCAAGCTAATAATTGTCGTAAAGGATTTTATTATTATCAACGTGGTTTTGCTGATACAGGGGTAGGTAACTCTTCTTTGTTAATTTCTCAGTTACTACAATTTACTTTCAGGAGGCAAAAAGAAACGATATATTTTGATAATGGTATATGTTGATTTTGAATAAAGATCAATTCTATTGTGAAGGCTACTTGATATTCTTAATTTTTTTCTAGTGACCTAGAATTGACCTTAGAATACATTTGTGATAATATGAAAATAATGCCAAGTTGACAAAAACATTTGATGGAAGGGTCAGTTTTGTAGGCAGGATGATCATTTTTTCTATTTTATCTATTTACAGCTAGATTGTCATGATGTAGTTTTATTCTGGAGGTTTCAGAGAATGTTACAAGTTACCAGTAATGCTTTAAGACAACAAGTAATGAACAATGAAGGTAAATACCAAGCTAGAAATATGATTGTATAAGAACACAAATGTAAGAAATCATATTTCATTGATTTTCAGCTTTGATAATTCAAGATTTTTGAGGGTTTTGAACCTACTTTCTGTGGATGATTTGTGATCTCTTAGTAATAGGTAATGTTTGTGTGTTTATCTACAGCTAGAAGATTAGAATGTATTATTAAAGATGGTTTACTATGTATTTATCATTTGAAATATTTTGTGTTTGTTTACAGCTAGAAGATTAGAATGTATTATTAAAGATGGTTTAATACGTATTGATTATTTGGGATATTTTGTGTTTGTTTACAGCTAGATGATTAGAACGTATTATTAAAGATAGTTTACTATGTATTTATTATTTGAGATACTTTGTTTTTGTTTACAGCTAGGAGATTAGAATGTATTATTAAAGATAGTTTACTATGTATTTGTTTTTTGAAATATTTTGTGTTTTTTACAGCTAGGAGATTAGAATGTATTATTAAAAATGGTTTACTATGTATTTATTATTTGAGATATTTTGTGTTTGTTTACAGCTAGAATATTAGAACGTATTGTTAAAGATGGTTTACTATGTATTTATTATTTGAGATATTTTGTGTTTGTTTACAGCTAGATGATTAGAACGTATTATTAAAGATAGTTTACTATGTATTTATTATTTGAGATATTTTGTGTTTGTTTACAGCTAGGAGATTAGAATGTATTATTAAAGATGGTTTACTATGTATTTATTATTTGAAATATTTTGTGTTTGTTTACAGCTAGAAGATAAGAATGTATTATTAAAGATAGTTTACTATGTATTTATTATTTGAGATATTTTGCGTTTGTTTACAGCTAGAAGATTAGAACGTATTGTTAAAGATGGTTTACTATGTATTTATAATTTGAAATATTTTGTGTTTGTTTACAGCTAGAAGATTAGAACGTATTATTAAAGATGGTTTAGAAGATATAGGAGAAGACAAGGAAGAATTATCTAAATTATTAACAGGAAGGCGTGTTCAACTTGCTGAAGAACTAAGTAAGTTGAGGCATTCATTTTAATTAGACTATGAAAACAAAGTCAGTAAATATCAAACTTTGGTGTTTTATAATGACATCTTGCTTGGCCATTTTTTAAACTTGTGTTTGAATTATAACCTATTTTTTCTATTGCATTTCAGAAAAAGTTCGTCAGATTCAAGAAAAATTAGAAGAATTTGTACAAGCTTTAAACAAAGAGAAATCATAAAACAGAAATCTCAATTGATTTTTCAAGCCTAAATAATGCATTTAGGCCATATTGTGACAATTCTCTTCTAAGTTTATTGACTAATGAGGTTGGATATTTCTTGCACTCAAGAATTTTGTGGCTTTTGAAAGAAGACAAACCATTTAAGCTAGCTTTTTATACAGATTGAAAAACTATAAAGGATACTGTTTAGCTAAAGGTACTTCAGAATTGAAAGAGAGACTTTTGTTGCCAATACAATACGAAGTTATTTCTAATTTTTCACTCGCAAGGGTGAGGTTTGTTCATCTTGGTGCATAATTATTCCCTTCAAATCCTTACGCATCTAGAAGACAATTTGAATACAGGTTCATGTATAACTTGTGTAAGTTTAGTGAACTTTATTCGGTTTTCAATTGACTCAGTGAGTGACAAAAAGTGAATTGTGTTAAACAAACAGATGACTTGTTTCTATGAATCTGTGTGGTTTTGTGCTTGTGTGTATATCTTTTATCATCTAATTAGTGCTAATAGATTGATATCTGTAGTGGGCTTTGTATTAATGACAATATAAATATTGTTGATAAATGTTAAGTTTTATACACTTGCTGAGTTTCTATGGTAATATACCAGCCTGTGTTATAATATATCAGAAGAGAAGAGATTTACTTAAAGGGCTTGTACAAAGGTTCTCTATACATTTTATGTGTATTCAGACCAGTTATAGCTTCTATTTGCATCATTCTACTAGATAACTGTGGTTCCTGTCATTATAGCTATGCTTAACCGAATATTACATCACTATCGCAAAATCTATTAAAACATTATAAGCAACTTTTGTGATAGTGATGTCATAAAACACTAAGAGAAATTGTAAGACCCACAGATGTCTTGACTGAAAATTAGGATGGTGCTAATTGATTCTATCAATGACCCCATAACAAAAAATTAAGAAAACCTTTATTACCATCCATTTGAAAAATGCTGGAGTCAAGATTAATACAGTGAATAACAACAATATATTTACCAGAAAGTGCGGCAGTTTGGCTAACTATTTGTAGTTATAATGTAATGTGATATAATACAGAAAAATTCAAGGGCTATACAGCGACATCATTTTAGATATTAAGGTCTTGATTTAAGGTGCAAATTATTGCTTATTGTAGAAGAACAAATGTCGTTTCAATTCTGACAATATGGTCTATGAAATTCTGAAGCGACTATATTTCTTTATTTAAGTTTTGTTAGATTATAATGAATTTCTTACACTGTTTTGAAACAAGAATTAGTTTTTTAAAATTGTCAAATAATGAAATAATAATTGAGCTGCTAAGTTATAAGATGTGTGGCTACTAGTATTTTTGAAAAAGGGGATAGGTTGGGGGTTAATTTTTGTGAAATATTTTGTTTGTTAAGCAGATTTAGTTGTTGAAGAAATTAAAATATTATTTATATGAAATAGAATTTTGTTTGTTTTGAAATGCAATGTGATAGAAAAAATGAAATTGAAATAAAATTTATAAACCAAAACATATTCTTTGATTATCATTTATTTTGAATGTTTTCACTGAAAAACATTTGGTACCAAGAAGGTATACCTCATTCCTTTAATCCTCATGATACTGCGATACCAGTTGGTTAGAAAGAAAGGAAAGTTTCTGATGACAGACCGTTCTAACCTAATCCTACACTGTACTGGATATAAATCATCTTTTTATGTATGGATCAAAGTAACTTTCAATATTATTGTGTGCAGTCATTTCAGAAAAACTTAAAGTTGTTGCTAATGTAGAATTTGAATCAAGAAAAGTCCTGCATTTAGTCAATTATCTCTATATGTCATAATATATACTATTCTATATACCACGCTCGTAATTTACTTATCACATACATCACGTACAACAGTTTTGTCAACCTTTCGTTTCCTATTTGGATATTTCGTTTCTTTCTAGGTAATTGCTACATAATAAATATGTACGAGAAAAGTCATCGTAGAAGTCCGTAAATAAATAATTTATTTCCATTGGTTGATTTATTTCCGGGAATGATCGGGATGACGTAGACACCGGAAGCACATGTCTTCCACTTGTAAATAAACATGCTGCAATCCCCAGAAATTAAAGTCATGTAACGATTATTTCTGTTTCATGAGCGTTGTTCGTAAAAAGGAATATTAGTAGCTTGTAGATTTCAAACACATAACACATACGTATTAACTGTTATATTTTTAATGGCTCAAACTATGGCTAAGATAGCTAAAATGCTGACTTTGTTTGAAGGAAAAGGTAATAATATTCATCTATTGCAATTGCATTATTAGCATCATGGGGACACCCTGGTTTTTCAAGCAACTATTGTTGATGTCTTATAATGTTTGCGTAAGAAGTTATGAAAAATGTGTTTCTTCAGCAGTTAATAGTAGTGAGTACAGAATAACATAGAACACAAATTATATTGTTTTGAATCAAAAAGATTTGTTTTTTTAAATTTTAGAAGCTCAAATTATACATAGAGCTGCTGCAGATACCTTACTATCAGGGGGAGTTATAGCTGTACCAACTGATACTATATATGGTATTGCTGCCCTCTCGCAGAATGTTGATGCTATAAATAGAATATATGATATTAAACAGCGTAATTCATTAAAACCAATTGCTGTCAGTGTTGGAGAGGTTGAAGATATTTTCAGGTAGGATTATTAAAACTAGGTTGGGATAATTTCAGAAATAGCTTTACATTTCCACTTTTGCTGCATGTTACGAAAACAAATTTTGGTTAAAATTTCTCCTTTTAATCAGTATAATAATGATTGCATTTGATTTTATGTATGGTTACGAAATTTTTAACTAATGCAAAAGTCTGCATAATTAGATATACATAACTAGCATCTTATTAAACATAGGACAGAATCTAAGCCCTAGATCTACATCACAGAGCCAATGTTTTATATTATAGATGGAGTAAAGTGACAGTTAGTAAAGAGTTCTTAAACGAGTTATTACCTGGACCAGTTACTGTGGTGATGGAAAGGAAGCCTGAATTAAACCCACAACTCAATCCAGATACAAACCTAATAGGCATTAGAATTCCTGATCATAATTTTATACGTCAAATCTCCAGATTATGTGGTCAACCCATTGCTTTAACAAGTGCTAACATCAGTAGTAATAGAAGCACTTTAGCCATTAAGGTAAAAATCAATAGAATGTGAATGGCTGAAGCCTTCTGTAATTTATGTTTGTCTACAGCAATTTTTTTTATGCAATCTATATTCTATAATAACTAATATATATTTAAAATACTTTTGCCCTTTTTAAAATTTTTATATCACTGAAATTTTTGTATTGAGCACAGTTTTACAGTGGAAATATGTATTGTGGTTTTATAATGTGTTGTAACTTTGAGAAAGTGATGAAATAAATTGCAATGTTGAGTGTTCATAATATAAATTTTAGCTTCCTGACTATGTTTTGAATTTCCTCCTAATCTAGACATGTATAGTATGCTCAAATATTTTATTCCATGAGATACCAGTACTTGAAATAATATGTTTTGTATTTTCCAGGAATTTGAAGACTTATGGCCCAACTTGGACCTGATAGTTGATGGTGGAATGTTAGGTAATTGTCAAGCTAGTCGTTTGGGGTCCACAGTAGTTGATCTTTCTCTAGTTGGAAAATATGACATAATAAGACAAGGAAGGTAAGTAGATACTGCAATTTCTAGCACTGATTCATTGAATCAGTTCAATTTTATTATTTTCTTAAGTTGTTCACTAATGAAATGCTGTTCAGAGTTATTTTTCTCTATGGAGTGGTAAACTGTCCTTAATACTTGACAATGGAATCAGTAGAAGGCAATAGCTCAAAATATTTTACTCATGAACATTTGGTCCCTTTATTATCAATGGTTTTAAGATATTTTTTATTACTTTTCAGTGGCTATGATAAAACTATTAATATTCTAAAGAAATATGAACTCGTTGATGTACAAGATAAATCCTAGCACTTGATATTGGACATTAAAATTCAACTTCTGTGATATTTCCTCTGTGTTCAGGTCATTTTATGGGGATCATGTATGGGCAAAAGGCACAATTAAAATATTTGTCTGACGGTTTACAAAAGCTTAACATTGATAATAAGTTATATTATATATAACATTTTGACAGTGTAATAAGATAAATTTGTTCATGTTAAGTGTAGTTAAAAAAAGGTACAATTGGCATAAGGCATGTTATCAGAGTTTTATAAGAACTGCTATGTTTAAACTTTAAATTATTTCATCTTAATTATGAGAATTAGGGTCCAAAAATTCAAATTAATAAAGGTTACAGATTTTTATCATGTGTTCCAAGTTTCACAATCAAGGAAAAAGTTTAATTTTTTTTTTTTCTATTCCTTCATTTATTAGGAAGTTTGGTAATTAACAATCAATCCCACCAATGGGATGCATTTTAGCAGAGTATGGAATATGGATGCCACTCTGAATTTGAATGGCATTAGCACCTCTAATAATAAAAAAGTTAATTTTTATACGCCCACGTATATTGTCGGCACACCTGTCCGTCGGTCGGTCCGTCAACATTTGCTTGTAAACGCTCTAAAAACTATATTTTTGATGGAATCAAATGAAATTCGGTATGTGTATATATATTCATAAAACGAACATCAAGTTCGAATTTGAGCTATTTTCAACCGTTAGAAGCAGAGTTATTGCCCTTGCCCCAAATTTGACCCCAATTTTCAACCAATTTGATGAAACTTAAAATGGATGTTATTGGACCTAAATCGACAGGTTTGAGAAAGTTTAGTTTACTTCTGATTAAATTTAAGCCTTCTTACGTCAGTTTTGAGGAGTTACTGCCCTTTAACCTCTATACATTAAGTGCTTCTATCAACATCATTTGCTTGTATGGATTTTTGATGGAATCAAATGAAATTCGGTATGTGTAGACATATTCTTAAAACGAAGATCAAGTTCGAATTTGAGCTATTTTCGACCGTAAGAAGCAGAGTTATTGCCCATGCCCCAAAATATTTACCATCCGCATGCCACGGTGGGCGTATATGGCTGTGGTCCACTATCTTATATTTATGTCACTAATACTAGTTATATTGAATTTTACCTAACATTTTGTTTTATTTTTAGAATTTTATTAATATATTTTTGAAATAAAATGTTGTATTCATTGCTTTCTTTTATTATATATGTGAGTGCATGATCTTATAATGTTCATACGCATTTTTTTCATAGGTATGGCAGTGGGTAGGTTCAAAGATGAATAAATACTCTTATTGGCCTAGTTTGAAAATCTAAATTTTATGTTCATTCATTCCTATATGATAATTAAAGGGACAGGTTCACCATCTGTTTGATCTAAGTAAACGGATTATTTTTGCCTAGCTAATCAGTAATAGTGTAAACAGCTCACCGTCAAAAATTTGAGCCTTTAAATCCATGTGTGTTCAGAATTATCCATGTTTGAAAGTGAAAAAGATGACTCAATGTTTCTTGAGATACTGCCATATATAGAAATAAAAAGTGAAATTCCTTGTTTGTGGTATTTGTCAAAGAATTATGCAATTTTGGTACATTTTTTGTACTACTGAAGACTACTTACATATATTCAAGATCCCAAAGTAATATCTGATAACAGATCAATAAACAAAACAAGGGTGTTGGTTAGATTTTTTTTATTAGGCTTCCATTTTTAATCTTAGTGTTTTTTTTAAAGACAATATATTGGGGTTAATGATTATTCCCAGGGCAATATCTGTCTGTCATGTACAAAAATATCAAATATACTTAATAATCATCAAAGATATTTATACAGCCACAAACCGGCTGAAGATTTCATTATCAATTTGTTATAGAATTATTAAAGTAATTTAGAAATGTGATACACAAAGAAGCATAATTGTTGGGGCACAACTAAATATTATAGGGGGCCGGTGTCAGATAATATAACAATCATTTTTTCATACTGGTTCACACAAGAAATGCATACACAATCATGTACATTAATATTTAACATAATAAATTGGCACAAGATATTTACATAAGCTATTTCTAAATTTATTAACGCTTCACAATGCTAAAACTATTTTTTGCTTGACAACCCTACCAGTATAAGCATGGACTTTTGCGTCATTAAATTTAAAACAAGTATATTCAATATTTTGTGCTTCTTTATATAGACTATTTCCATGTTTATTATAAACATCAACCAATAACATTCAATTCAATACAATTCTAAGGGAGGACCAGAAGATTCTAGACTCCAAACCTCACCTACAGTTGTGCTCCTGTAAATTACACTGTATTATATAATTATAGTCATGCTTCGTATCCCAAATACAGGATTTTACACGATCTTAAGTATTTATGAATGTAGGACATGATGAGTCAAATGTAGAGTTTATATTAGAGTAGACTCATGAAATTTAACGTTGTTATAATATCTATTTCAGATCTCAGAAATTACTTGAAAAAACTTAAAAATTGTCCACACTAAAACATAACATGAAAATATAACAAATAAAAATATTTCACTTCAATTGTGTTTGTGGATCAAGTAACAAGCCATACAAGACTTAAAAGGTTCAAGTGTTTGAATAACTAGGGCCTTATTCAGGAAAAACTTAAGATGATTATAGTGTTCCAGTTATCTGATTGGTGAATCACTAAAATTGATCTTAAATTTAAATTTGTTATCCAATCAGAAAACTGTAATTCTTAAAATCTGGATTTGACTTAAGTTAAGTTTTGGAGAATAAGACCCCTAATTGATTTCACAAATTTAAAACAAACAAATAATACAAGTTAGGTCAAGCAAATTGAATTTGTGTACATCTTGGAACTTCAAACAGCCACATGAACCTTCCATTTTAATTTGATACCACACTTAGGTCTCAAAAACATTTTTTTCTTTTCTCTATATTTTTTTCCTGAATGCTAGACAGGACCATGTCCTTGTGTAATGGGCCTAATTCTGACCCATGTAAAATAAAAAGTTTATTATTATTATTATTCCTCAAATTTCTTTTCTTGGTAGTTTCAGTCTACAAAATTTGTTGAATCATTAGGAAAGTCAACTGAAACAAGTTACCAGGTTAATAATACTTTATTAATACTAGATAATTCTTTTTTATTTTCTTTTTGGAAATTTCTTTAAATCAGGTTTCCTCTTTTTTGAATTATTATTTCATTTATAAATGTATTTTAATTTTTTTTATTTTTTTTCTATTTTAAAGTTGTTGAAACAAAAAATATAAATGGTCCATGTTAAGTATACCATATAATTGAGCAAAATTGTGTATTAAATTAATACTCTTAAAAGCTAAATGAAGCATAATACTAAAAACATATAAATACAATAAAAAAAGATGATCAATTGATCCTTATATAGGCCCAACAAGGTGTAACAAGAACACATGGTTTGAAATGTGAAAATGGTACAAAATGCCTGACTGCATCATATACCTGCATAAAGTTTTATGGTAATCAGTATAACACTTATAGCATTTTATCATTCTGGATCACAAGGGTTGACAAAGGGGTTCAATTTGCCAGTGCCTTCTGTTGGATAGTAACTTGTTACCTTTCAACCACCCTAATCACTATTTTTGGAAACTGCTATTAAAAAACCTTTCTCCTTTCTGTGCTCTGTGTAACACAAGAAATGCCTACACACAGTGGTGGAGCCAAAGGGGGGCCAAAAGGGTTACCCACCCCCTAGGTTAGAAATTCTGGCAACCTGATATTTCGCCCTTGAGCAACCCACTTTATTTCTAATTAGATTTGAAACTTTACAGACTAAACTTACATTTTGTTGATTACTACTAAATGGCCTGATCATGTTTATGTTTTGAATCCAGAATATCATATATTATCTATTGTCAAAATGAGTGACCGATCAAGAAACGTCAAAAAGTCTTTTTTCTTTGTTAATCCTGACTGTACGTCCATAGACATTTATGATTGGTTAACACTCTTAATTATATGCAATAAAAACATAATGATAGGATTAAGAATACATGATGATTCATTAGAAACTCCAATTAATCAAATAGTTTGCTTAATATGACACTAAAAAGGAAATCCATTTTTAACAGTGGTATTTCTATATTGCTCTACAATTGATATATTGAGCACTATTTTAACAGTGGTATTTCTATATTGCTCTACAATTGATATATTGAGCACTATTTTAACAGTGGTATTTCTAAATCGCTCTACAATTGATATATTGAGCACTATTTTAACAGTGGTATTTCTATATCGCTCTACAATTGATGTATTGATCATTATGTTAACAGTGGTATTTCTATATCGCTCTACTATTGATGTACTGAGCACTATTTAAACAGTGGTATCTCTATATCACTCTACAATTGATGTATTGAGCACTATTTCAACAGTGGTATTTCTATATCACTCTTCAATTGATGTACTGAGCACTATTTTAACAGTGGTATTTCTATATCACTCTTCAATTGATGTATTAAGTACTATTTTAACAGTGTTATTTCTACATCACTCTACAATTGATGTATTGAGCACTATTTTAACAGTGAGAATTTTTTGTTTATCTACTGTATAACAATGGACTGGACAATCTTTCTACTGGTATTAAAGCTTACAAATCTAAGTAGGTAGTCTTTAGCCTATATACCAAAAAAGTATTTTCACTTTTAAGTGAAATATAGGTAGCAATATATGTAATAAGCTTATAATAATAATTTTCTAAAATATAAAATAGAACTCTATGCTACAAGTAGAGTTTGTTCTATCAGGTATGTTCTACTGTTAAGTAGAGTTTTATATAACAATAATTATTATATGATATCACAAATTCCCAAAAAGGGGAAACCAATTAAAACTATATTATTGTCCTGTTATTTGACGTTTCGACTTACTGCCTTCTTCAGAAACGATGAAACGCGGAACGTGAGAATCATCAAGGAACGTGATTGGATGAAGAGGTTACGAACGGAGGATCCAAATGGGTTGAATAAGAAGTGTTCGTTGGTTTTCTGTGGAGAGACTATTAACGGCATGACGAAAGATGAAATGACGTCGTAAATGAACTTTTTGACATGACAACCATCAAACAGTTTGAGTATTCTAAACTTTAAATAGTTAGTAAAATAACGGAATAAGATGTGATCGAGATCTATTTTGGGTGTTTCTGAAGAAGGCAGTCAGCCGAAACGTCAAATAACAGGACAATAATATAGTAATAATTATTATATATCTATGCTCTAAATAGGGAGTTCTATCTAGGTATGTTCAACTGTTAAGTAGTATATCTATGCTATGAGTAGGGAGTTTTATCTATATACATATAATATGTTGAACTGTTAAATATTATAGATGCTATATAATATAGAGTGTTATATAGTAATAAATATTATATATTCACCCTAGGAGTAGGGAGTGCTATCTAGGTTAATTATTAAACAGAGCTCTATGCAATAAGTAGAGTGTTATAACACTATAACTATGAGTAAGGAGCACTATCTATGTACATGTAACATGTTGAACTGTTAAACAGAGCTCTATTCTATAGGTAGTGTTATATAGTAATAAATATTATGTATCCATGCTATGAGCAGGGGGTGCTATATATAATAAAAGGTATATAAACTTATAAAAAGGGCTTCATGCTGTAAATAGGGAGGGCTTTATAGCAACAAGTATTTACACTGTTAAACAGAACTGTAGGCTATGTTATACATAGAAAGGGCTATATAGAAACATCAAGAATTTTAACTGTTAAACAAAAGTCTATGCTATAAGTCTAAAGTATCAAAAAGTATCTAAAAATATAAATAGGGCTTTATGCTATAAATAAGAAGGCTTAGTAATATACCTATTTGGTAAAACAAAATAATTAAGATAAAAAGCTAAAAAAAAGTTCAAATTAATTATCATCTGATTCATCTGATGTGTAGGTTCTATCACTATCTCCTTCGCTTTCACTATCACTGGAAATAATAAAAATAAATAGTGAAAAACATACACCCTAATACAATTTTCAAAGCTGTTAGATATAGAAGATCTAAAATGAGTGCTTATATAATATGAAATTTATGAAATGAGTTGCAGGATTAAATTTTACTTGATGTCTTGGCAATGAAAGATTATATATATCAGACAACTATCAATAAAGACATAATTTCCTTACATTCTTGCACTCTTTCGATATAGGGCCTTCATTTTGAGCCTTTTTAAACATTTCTCCAAAATGCCTTAGCACGTAACAAAATAGATCATGATAAACACATTCATGTGATTACTAAATTGAAACTTGTAGTCCAAGTAATCTGCGATTTCATGCCCTTTAGCTTCTACCTTAACTGAGTTGTCAACTTAAAACATGTTATGTTTGTTTACATGGCTGGATACATGACCTAATTTGCAAAGTTCTTAACCTGTGCTTTGAGCTCATATTGTTTTATGAACCTGTGTTATGAACTAAAGGGACAGATTCGCCATTTTCGGGGGTTTGATTCTTTGGGTCTTGAATATATATGTAAATAGTCTTCATAAGTACAAGAACTGTACAACAACCAAATTTTTATGGTGATCTTTGAACACTATAATTAGTATCTCAGCTAAGAAATTCCTGTTTCTAAGACTAAGGTACGCTTGGTCGAACAGATAGCAAACCTGTCCCTTTAAACAAGTAAAATGAAGATAGAAAACTACTAACAAACTAGATATAAGCTATTTGGACTTACCTTGAATGATCATCATTCCGTGGATGTATATTTTTACAATGGTTTTTATAACGGCAATTCCCAGCCAAATAATATTGACAAATAGTAGGTTCGTTTGACTGAGTGGCAATATTAGTACTGCTGCCAAATCGTCTGGCTTTGGAGAAAAGTTTGCGATTTCCTTGATGATGGCTTTGAGATCTGGTATGGCAGGATGGTGCTGAATTATATCTCAGTCCTGGGCGTTGTCCTGGTTGTGGATGCTGAATGGGATAAGCTACAGGAGATTGAATCAGCTGCATTTGTCGACTCCTAGATTGTTGAATAGGTGTATACCATGATCTGTTCAACTGTTCTCTGTGTTGTCTGTTGTAAGAGTGTCCTACAGAACCATTACTAGTTGCTTGCTGTGAAATAGTCATATTGTTAAAAGTGTCAACCATCTGTGCTCTTGGAGTGTAAGAATCCATATTATTTCTAGGGCCTCTTGTTTTATTGTAATCAACTTCATTAGGTCTACTATAGTTTGCATTTCGTGCCTTTCTTTCTTCAATCATGTCATACATGTCTTTAATTTCTCCCAAAATAGCAGATTGATTTCTTTCTGTGTTTATTCCAAATCTCTTTAAAATCTTCTCATTATTCAGAATTTCGTGGCTACGATTACATTTACCACGACCAAACTTACAATTACCCCAAACATAATGCTCACAAATATGCAAACTTGTACATTTCCCACCTTTTGAACAGCCTCTGCTCACATTATAAAATGAACAAATTCTTGGTATGCTGGCTTCGGTTCTGTTTCTTCGCAGCCGAAAGAGTTTCTGTAAATATTTATAGGGAAGATCATCCAGTAGCAAGGCACGGAAAAGTTTTATATTATGTTCACTATTAAGGGCATGTCCATATTTACAGGTATTCCTCTTTGACAGACACCCATCTGATAAAATGTAGAACTTACAGATATGAAACATTGGACAATCTCTGTCATCACAATTAGATTCTGAGCAGTAATCTGGACATAGATTAACTTGTACAACCAAATTAACCATTTCTGATCTCCCATGTTCACGGCAAAATGCAAATATTTGTGGATAATCTAGTAAACAATCTAAGAGTTCAGATCTACTTTCAATATTTAGCTTGCTCTGTAAACGATTGAAATCCATATTTTCTCCATTTCTAGAAGCAATCATTTGAATTGCAGAACGTGCAAGATCTTCGCTTCTTGTAGTATGACTTCTTTCAGCCATTATAGTTAATTCATCTGAAAAGGTAAAATAATAAAACAATATGAAACCTCCTCAACCATTTAAAGTCTTGCTATCATATCTTCATATCTTTCTTTCTTATCTTTACAAACAATTGGTGAAGGTTCTCAATCAGTGTGCAAAGTCTGATGACCTTGAATGAGTCATCTTTCCTCAATATTTCATTAGACCCAGCTGGAATTGGGTATGTTAGATAATGTAGCAAACAGGATCCTCCGGATTCAAACCTCAGATGTTATCCTAGAGTCAAAAGTAGCTGTTGAATTTTACTTTTTATTACGATATCTAAAATTTCCAAACACCTACACATTTTATTTGGTGCTTAAGCAAAATGTAAGAATTCATCAGACTTTTTGTCAAGTTTCTGATACAGCCTACATTAGTCTGATAGTCACGGCTGACTATAATCATTATTTAATACTTTCAAGACTTAATATTCATCACAGTTTATAGCCTAGTAAAACAAATGGTGTTCTATATGAAATCAATTTACTTCCTTGACTAAAATGAAAGTAGAAACATACAAATTTTATAATATGAAATTGTTCGTATATAGTGTAATTTTACTATTTATAACATATGTGGGCTATATATCACAGTTCTCTACAGTAGGCCTATAGTCAATTGAGGGTTAATTGCGACCTATTTAATATATCTGAAATACATAATAGGTCTGTGGAAGCAGGCTGTGATCTTTCCTATTCTTATAATGTTATTGCTCTCAAGAAAACAAGGAAAAATGTCAAAACATTATGTGCTTTGTTATTAAAAAAGTTAGTTATACCATAATATACTTCTTGTGTTTTTTGTTATAAAAATGTCAATAGTCAAGCGTGGAAATTATAGGAGAGAACCCAAGCATGAATTATGACAAGAAATTAGAGATGATTTTAACTTTTTCATAGTTTTTTCGACTTCTTGCTTTTCACCCTGCTTATGGTTGCTTTCTAAGTTACTGGTGCCGCATGTGGTTTTTTGAAAAGAAATGTGATTGCAAATTTCTCCTCCCCACATAAGACACATAATTGAGACCATTCCACCTTGTACTGTGGGGCTTCTCTACCTGACATCCGAAAATAGGATGCCTGAAAGTCCCACCAATGTAGTCAGAGACATTTTGTATACCAATATCCGTAGGGTCTACATACATTAATAATTTAGCCTATATATTGTCTACTATATATCGTATATAATTATATTTAATACTAGCCTATAAATGTAACTCACTTGTAATGTTATTAGTACTAGTAATAGTCCTTATTCCAATCCCATACAGAAATTTTTACACTCCAATGGGTATTAGAACCCGTGCTGACATATTATCTGATACTGAAACTTGACATTCTGTTTTGACAACAAGCTGATAAAATGCTTGGAAATCGAATTGATTGTTCGGCCTATTTTTAACCATTTTCTTGGAAGTCATATGATTAATATTACGTCATAGACCTAGCTACCTAGAGTCATTAATTGATTGTAAACCTCTAACTCTAATTGAAAATTCCGAATGATTACTTTTTTTTTTTTAAGTCCATGTCCGTTTGGCAATAAGCCAATATAATTAGACATTTGATACAAGATATATAAGCATTTTGAATACTTTAGTTTAGGCGTGTTCTTTGTCAATATGGACTAGGCCTATAAAACTATTAAAGGGATTGAAAAGATGTTTTCTAAACTTGTATGTATATGGGGGACACTGATGACAACAATTTGCATCATTCCAATTTCAGACAGACATGTGTGGTTCCTGCAATTCCACTAAAATTAAGTGTTTTATGGCGTCACTTTACGCAATTTAAACCTGCTTAGTGACGTCATAAAACGCTCACAGACGTCGGATTGAAAATTGCAATGGTGCATGATATCAATACTATCAGTGTCCTCTATACACATAAAATGTTTCAAAAACCTCTTTACAATCCCTTTAATAATATTTATGAAACACCCTATAGGTCGCGGTGGCCTAGGGTGCTTTTTGCACTTGCTCAGTAACTTGCGCAGTTGGTGGGTGGTCGCGTTTTGGAATCCAAATTGAATCAAAATTTTAAAAGAAAACATAAATTTTGCAATGAAAAGTCAAAACTACTACAGTAACTATCTACTCTATCATTTTGACTATAAAAAAGGTGTATGTGAACATAGAACTTTAGCCTATAATTCTATTGTGAACAATGGATAAAGAAGTGCATGACGTCTTATACCTTGACTTGAATGCAATAGCCAGCCTATTTTCATTTATTTTTTTTTTGGCAACGATTTGATAGGATTGTAAGTTAGCAAATACAGCCAATCAGAGTCATCAACAGAAAGTCTTAAACAATTAGCCATAATATTTACAGTCTATTTGTCAAGGTCTCTGATTGGCAATAATTGCTGGCGTACAATCCAATAAAATTGATGCTACCATGAAACAAGAAAGGTGGTTATTACAGTCAAGGCATAAGACAAAGTTCGTAGTAGTTTGGCATTGTGAAGATGAGCTAATCTAAAGGCCTTTGATCATATTTAACATTTGGAGCTATTTAAGCCCCCTATTAAATTTTTTCTATACCAATTTGTGTTGAGAAGATGCTCAATGAAGTAGGCTACTATTTCATTTCATATGCTGAAATCGTATTTTTGGACAAACATAAGAACTCTTTCCTGCAAAATATTGAATCGTACTGTGGAAAACACACAAATTAGGCTACTCTAATCAGATACTCACTTATGGTTGATCTATTATAGCTTCCTCATGTGGAAAGTTCATGAGCGATACCATTGTTATTTTGGATTTAAGGTTTTGTTCGGATCGATAGTACTTAGTTTCTTTTTCTGTTTTAACTTAACTAATGTCTATCTTTTCAAAACTAAAATAGGGCAAAAAACATACTGCACAATATTATGATAGTTTGTGTATTTTTATTGGAATGTTGGATAATCATACTTAAACAATTAAACCATGGAACCTCATAATCTATACTGAGAGTCCACATAGCTAGTATGATATTTTGGGTATCATGGGTGGATGAAATTGATCTGTATCATTGGGCAAATTCATAAAAATTAGTATATTTCATCTATTTTTCTTTCGGTGAAAATAATAGTTTTGTACATTAAAATATAACTAGCTAGGGCCTACATCAGCATCAGGAAGGTGTGACTGACCCAAAAAGCACTCTAGATAGGCAGCCATTCTGACAAATTATCAATTCGTTAAAAAGCATATCAGCAAAAGAATTAATATTTAATGGTGTTATACAATTGCTGACCTAGAATGCTATAAATAGATTAAAAGACTTAAAGTCCCATTTGTTATATATGGGTGGTTGGCTAGACTATAAATAGAAGGTGGTCCACAATTTTTGTTGGTTTTGTAAAAGGGCATCAAACAGTATTCCAGTATGTCCCTAGTTGACTTGGTTGACACCCATAAAACATCATACCATGAAAGAAATTGATATTTTTAGAGTGGACAGAATCTACTCTACACATATATCTAGTTATATTGATACCATCATTACACCTTTTCAATTCTAGATGATTATTTTCTATTTATGTGATCAAATGTGAATCTGCTGATTAACCTAAAGTATTAAATAAAAACAATACAATAGCAAATTTAAGTCAACAAAATCAATGTTTATAGACCAGAATCAAACAAAAGAGCATGCTCTTCTAATGAAATCTGTTTTCAAATATAATTCTCATTTAAGAATTTAAGCTCAGCGTTGAAATTTGAGCCTTCAAATCGTCATGCGATTTTCGTACATTTCTAGTATTCTAAAGACTATTTACATATATCCAAGACTAAAATCAACCCCCCAAAATGGCAGACCTGTCCCTTTAAGATAAATTAAATTCAATAAAATTTTGGACCATAAATTGTAAAAAATACCTTGGCCCTATATTGAAATATATTTGAGTTAGGTAAATATCATGAAATACTTTTAACCCATATCACTTACAAGAACTAATTATATTATTGAATTGGTTGGGTTCGGAAGAGTGGTTGACTTTTCTGATTGATCCATTGGTTGTAGTTGATTTCTGGGTTGAGAAACATTAGGTTGGGTTGCCTGGACCAGACCAGGAAAAAAGTACAGACTTTTACTTAATGATGACCTATATTCTGGAGACTGTTTATTACGATCACTAATTGTTTCAGCTTTTTGAACTAAATTATTCACCTGGAAAGAAATTTTCAGTAACCAATATTTAATCTGAGCAAACGTGTATGCACAAATAGTTCAATTTGTTGTCAGAGGTAATACTGAAAAAACATTCTTGATCTTCTTGTCTTTCAGATTCCATATGCTTTGTGACTTTTGTGCTTCTAATAGGTTCCTTCACAATTGGAAATCGAAAAAAGGTTTAGGTTTAGGCAAATAGTTCTTCATTGTACACTGCATGGCATCATTAGTCCAACAGGAGCAGAAACCATACTAGGATGTATTGTGTGTTCTGTACAGATTTCAACCTCCATGTTTTGTACCTACCTTAGTCATAATATTAACTAGTTCACAGCTATGAGCCCAGTATTTAAAGGCATAGACCACAGCTTGTATAAACCACGTTCCAATGTTGATATTTCGCCAAGATACATAACCTGAAATATAATTGATAGAAATTTATAAAAACTATACACTAAAAACTACAGAAATATGTCCTTCACATGTATGTAAGATTAAACTAAAAAAATCAAGCTGTCAATTTTTTAACGCCAATGTAAACTGACTTCATTACGCTTTTTGGTAGGTGTAAGAAAACAACTGAAGAAGAAAAATCTTTTTTCTTCCTTTTTTGGTTCTGGAAATTCTAATCTATAAATCAAATAGATTTACTTAGAAACATGAATTTTTTTTGCTTAGCCATCCAGTAATAGTGTTCACAGCTCACCGTCCAAATTTGAGCCTTGAAATCCATAAAATATTGATGCATTGACCATAATATGATTATAGAAGATAAGTAAATGTGGATGGTAACTTTTTAACTATAATTAAGGTTTTTCTATTATGAAGAAAAGAGGTAAGTTGGTGTTTATTCATCACAAATTTATAATTACCTGGACTTGTTGCCATGGAGATAAACATATCAGCTCTTCTAGCAGTATTATGCAAGGCTTCATCAACTTGCTCAATGTCTTGTAAATCTAGCTCATCCAACTTTTGAGTGACTTCATTCATTTGTTCCTTGTCTTTTTCAGTTATTTTTTGGCTATTTTCTGTTCCCCAATCTTTTATGTCTGTTGATGAAATATATGGAATTTTAAATTTAGGCTTATGAAAGACAGAAAGGGCCAGTCAGTGTTCAGAGATGGACACTTCTGAGGAAAGCACAACCAATTGTTCTTAATCTTTTTCGATATGTTTTTAAGGACCAGATTTGCCATTTTTTGGTCTTGAATAAGCCTTCAGTTACAAGAAATGTACAAAAATACCTAAACTAAAACTCGGAAATTCACTTTCCTATATGGCAGAATCTCAAGAAAAGACGAAACATCTTTTTAACTTTCAAACTGGTCCAAATAATTCTTGACACATGGATTTGAAGGCTAAAAGTTGGATGGTGAGGTGTTAACATTATTACTGATCAGCTTGGCTCCTGTTTCTGTTTCTGAGACTACGATACAATTGGTCAAAAATGGCTAATCTGTCCCTTTAATGCTAGGCTTAATTCAAGGCTTGGGGCATATAGGTTTAATTAGATTGTATAAACATAAACTTATACTCACTTCCCTGACAAGCTTGAATGAAAAACAGTTTTGGTTTTCCATGTAAACTTTGACAATAAATCGAATCAAAACTAAAAACAATTTTGCTAATGTCCACTTCCTTGCCATCTACTCCATAAACATTACCATGGGAACCATGAGATAAAATAACCATTACAAAACAATCATAATTGGTGTGATCCATATCTGTATACTCTTGTACTATGTCCACTATTTCCTACAAAAAAAAAAAGAATTACATAATGAAATATAGTGTGATAGTGACATCATAAACCACATAGTGGAATTGCAAGAACCACAGACGTCTTAATTGAGAATTTGAATGGTGTAAATTGATGCTATCAGTGTCCCTTATACACATAACTTTTTTTTAGAAAACCTCTTATTATATAATCTCTTGAAGTAATAAGCTTAGGGGATGAATGCTTGAAGTCCATTACCTGGGAAATACTTCTTCCTTCAATCTATATTGTCATAATCATATCGTTAATTAATGGTATTAGGGATGAAAGCCGACACCAGGCCAACAGTTGGAAGCACTGGAAGAGGCATCAAAATTTACCCCATAGAGTGATATTTAAAATATTATATTCTATATTAATAAGCGTGAATTGTTATCAAATATTTAATTCTGTTTATATTTTAGGAATTAACTATCAATATCAAATTCTTTTACCTGTGCAGTTTTGTTATTGCGCACATCAACTAAAAAATGTAACTGTGTGAAAAGTTTCTCCAAAGAAATCACATCTTTCTCTGTGCCATCTCGATCATCAAGTTCTGTACTTTTATGAAATATCTCATTATTTATCACCACACAGTGTCCCCGAGGGTTTGAATTCATTTGGTAAATCTGTAATATTTCATGCATATCAATTCACAATTATGAAATATTGACTAAAAAATCAAAAACTATTAAAATTACTATCAAAATTTCTCACGAAAACAGGAAAATGTAATAAAAATAATTTTTTTTTCAAAATATCAAGATTTAGGTTAATCCACTTGTATAAGAATCAGAAATATTATAACAGAACCTAAAAACACATGTTGCTGTTAATCAGAGTTTCATGATATGTGAACTTCAGACAACTGACCTATTTTCAGCCTACATCCCAACTGAAGTTGGACAAGTATAACTTATTCTCATGTCTACATTTCGAGACGAATTTGGAACATTTTTCAAAAAGTGTTTGGGAGAATTAATGATGGAAAGCTTTTCAGTGAAACACTGGTTACATCGTTTGATTTTCTTTGTGTGGGCTTTAGCTCTGCTATCAATAAATCAGGATATTTTGTAATTTATGCTCTGAGAGTTCGGTACTATTTTCATATTTTCGATATTTAAACGACTGCATATGGTTGTAATAGGTGTTTTATAGCAGTAACAACAACATGATTCAAGTTCAGTTGAGGGTTGGTTTTGAGCCCTCTGCTCTTTCTAGTCTACGTCAATGTCATTAGTGATGGTCTTCTTTCCAACCCCAAGCTTTTTGCTGATGATACGTCTCTGTTCATGACCATTGAAAACAAAGAAGCATGTCAAGAAGCACTTAATTCAGATCTTGAAAAATTAAGTGAGTGGTCCCAAAAATGGCAAGTTACATTCAATCCACTGAAAACAGAAACTCTTACTTTCTCACATAAGGAAATTCCAACTATCTTCAATCTTAACTTTAACAATAAATATTGTTTAAAAAAAAAAAAAAAAAAATGATTCAAGTTCTGTTTTAATATTTCAATTCTGATGTATAAAGCACTATTTTAACAGTGGTATTTCTATATCGCTCTACAATTGATGTACTGAGCACTATTTTAACAGTGGTATTTATATATCCCTCTACAATTGATGTATTGAGCTCTATTTTAACAGTGGTATTTCTATATCGCTCTACAATTGATATATTGAGCTCTATTTTAACAGTGGTATTTCTAAATCACTCTACAATTGATATATTGAGCTCTATTTTAACAGTGGTATTTCTATATCGCTCTACAATTGATGTATTGAGCACTATGTTAACAGTGGTATTTCTATATATTGCTCTACAATTGATATATTGAGAACTATTTTAACAGTGGTATTTCTATAGCATTCTACAATTGATGTATCGAGCACTATTTATCAGTTGTATTTCTATATCACTCTACAATTGATGTACTGAGCACTATTTCAATAGTGGTATTTCTATATCACTCTACAATTGATGTCCTAAGTACTATTTTAACAGTGGTATCTCTATATCACTCTACAATTGATGTACTGAGTACTATTTTAACAGTGGTATTTCTATATCACTCTACAATTGATGTACTGAGCACTATTCTAACAGTGGTATTTCTATATCACTCTACAATTGATATATTGAGCACTATTTCAATAGTGGTATTTCTATATCACTCTACAATTGATGTATTGAGCTCTATTTTAACAGTGGTATTTCTATATCGCTCTACTATTGATGTATTAAGCACTATTTTAACAGTGGTATTTCTATATCGCTCTACTATTGATGTATTAAGCACTATTTTAACAGTGGTATTTCTATATATTGCTCTACAATTGATATATTGAGCACTATTTTAACAGTGGTATTTCTATATCACTCTACAATTGATGTATTGAGCACTATTTTAACAGTGGTATTTCTATATCGCTCTACAATTGATATATTGAGCTCTATTTTAACAGTGGTATTTCTATATCACTCTACAATTGATGTATTAAGCACTATTTTAACACTGGTATTTCTATATCACTCTACAATTGATATATTGAGCACTATTTTAACAGTGGTATTTCTATATCGCTCTACAATTGATATATTGAGCACTATTTTAACAGTGAAAATATTTTATTTTATTGTATAAGAATTATAAAAGTATAATACATCAGGATACACGTACTATATATTTAGGTTATACGATAACAATTTTACTCACCTCACTATCAGTCGTACATCTTTTAAACTTTTCATACATTTGGTCACCGTTCATGGCAATACATTTCGGAACACTGACAATTTTTGTATCATCATTTGGATCAGGAAATACTGTAAATGTGATTTCAAGTCAAAATTTCCATAATCAAAAATAACAACAAATCAACAATTCTTCAAATTTTTAACATATTTCTCCTTTTTAACCAAATGTAATTTTTCACAGATTATCAGAATACTAACGTCTAAATATTAAGCTTCAAAAGAATGCAAGAATTTGATAATTATTCAAAGAGCAAAAAAAGTGTTTCTGAAATAGCCTTATGATTTTTGTACGTCCAAAAATTTTACATGATAACCGAAAATTTAATTTCACAACTATCTAAAAAGCTTTTGTTAACTTTTTAAGTTAATTATGCTTTATGGTAGGTGTTAATCTTTTAACAACAAAACCATTTAAAAGTTTTACGTAAACTTTTTATGTTTGTTATGCTATTTGGTAGGTGTAAGAAAACGTCTGTACAAATTTATGCAAAATAGACACCGGATCCTTCTACCATAAATTTCCAGAAATCAGAGGAAAAAAAAAATCTAAATTAGTTTCTATGAAAAAAAAACAACCTTCATTCCTTAAAAAAAAAAATTTCCAGATACTTCCATTATAAATAAAATATATGATTTTTGATAAAATCAATTCTGAGAAAGTAGAAAAATCCAGGTCAGTTGTGCCTTTTGTAATTTTTTTTTCTCTTCTGACCTTTTTCTTGAAAAAATCCATCAAACAAGAAAATAAATTGGTCTGGCCTCATTGTAAAAACTATGTCTCCCACTATTCTAAAGATTTTAACTAGAAATTGAATCTTTATGAGGTCCAACACCAAAACTCATACTGCCCCTTAATCTATGAAACAATATGGTACCTGATGGTAACTGATGTTCTGTTGTTATTCCAAATGTGCCTCCCAGATAGTTTGCTGCTACGGGTTCGTTACAATCTATTAAAACTTTCCCGAACATATCAAAAGCTGAATCACCTCTCCTTGGTAAAATATTTAACAATTCACGACATTTCTGAATTCTTGTTGGCTTGGACTAAAATTGAACAGGCAATTAAGAAATTGAACAAAAAAATATTCAAAATAAAATGGTCTCAATATCTGTAGTTCAAAAAGCATCTACTCATTAACATAAGCTGTTAATGTACTAAGCTGGAAAAAGCCTTTATTGCCATACCCACAAATGCATGTCATTTTCAAGACCTTCATTACATGAGCAAATAATACATGTCTAATTATGATGTCATCAATCTTACCAATTCAGAACATGTAACTTACTATTTGAAACCAGAGAATTTTTCTTTTTTTTTTAATACTATTTGATTCATTTTCATAGTATTTTTATGTCAATCGAAAATTACAATTTTTTGGATTCCTTTGATTAGCAACTTAGAACTTACCAAAATGTCTTCTTCCATGTACTGTGTGATGACTTTATAATCTGTTAATTTACTCACTATTGAATTAATATCATGTATAGACTTGCCAATATCTTCACGATGTCTCCGTAAAATATCTCGTTTATGTTCCTGCATCATTCTGAAGATTTTCTTTACAAATAGGTAACGTATTTATTTAAATCAAAGCAGGCTGTAAAAAATAAATAATCAATGTTACATTGTGATACCAAATACTTAGCTGTGATACGCCATTTCATTACAAATACATTTAACACTAAATTAATGAAAAACAACAAAAAAAGCAGTGACTATAACAATCTACTCTCTAACCAAACTGATATCTAAGTCAATTTACATTGTTGTTTTTGTTTATAAATTTATCGTGTGCAAAATTATATTTGAAATGCTTCCTTCATAGAAATTCAATGACTGTCTTTAAAATGGATTTTTTTATTCTATCATAATATTTTTATTGATTGGTATATTTATCTTCCCCCAAAACAATTAAACTAGAGATAATTTAATTAATAAGCCACAGTGGTCAATCAGCAAATCTACAAGCCATTTTAAGGCAGCTGTTTCATAAAACTTTCAGTTCTAGTTCTAAATGCTCCTCTTCCATGATTTTATTTCCTACTTTTGACTTCAGCTACTTACAATTTTCATTTAGGCTACTTACTACAGTAGGCCTACTATACAAATATATTTCACCAACCACTGCATATTATGGTTAATAGGTCTACGCAGGGTAAAATGATCAAAATAAACCATTACCATTGCTAGGAATTTATAATTTCAATAATCGATCATCATACTCAATTAAAGTCAAAGTTACATTTTTTCTAGTACCAGTTAACAAGTAGTAATATCTTCCACATTGGTTCCTTTCAGCACATAACTTAACCACAATAAATTATAATACAATAACTGATCAAAGCAACACAATATACTTCTATAACACAAAATCAACCGATGAAATTAAGTATTTTGGCATGCAATGTTTTTCAATTAGAATATCAAATAGGCCTATTGATCACTAGTCTGTCATTGATCTCAATTTGCTAAGCGATACCCAGCCCTTAGTCTAGTACAACACAAAGGCATAGCCTACTCTACACTATTAACAGAACACAATAGTTCGCAAATAATAAAATAAAATAGGGTCTATATAAGATCATATATTTTGTGCGTCTTTAAAATAGACTTTGCTTACTATAGTCTATTAAAAGTATTATGGTGTTTCTGGAAAGGCACAGGACTAGTAGGCTACTAGTACTAGTAGAGAAGACAGGTGAGTGATCGAGTTATAATGTACTATTTACTATAGCCTTAGGAACATTTCACAGTTGAGTTACTAAGTTTGTTTACTTGATTCATACTTAACCATCCAGATTCTTAAATTCAAGAAGTCGTTTAAAAGGGGTGAATTTTCGCTCACTAATCTGCATACTAATCTACATAGACAATACAAAAAATTCCCCTAAATAGCCTTTATCATCCAGTCCCGCTTTGTCTACGCACAGTTCTTCATGGACGCCAAAGACTACACAATAAACCGAAAGTAATGTAAATTTTGGACATGGATTTGTAAAAGTTTGACAAGTCTGAAATTTAGACGACAATTTTTCAATTATAAGAGTTGTGTCCCTTGACTTGAAATTTCTTAATCAAAACAAATGACAGATAAAAGGAAAGTGGCGAAAATTGACTTAAAATCTGAATGAATTTGAATTTGTATTAAAAGAGTATATCATTATGGTACCAATAGACTTGCTGGATACTGCAAGGAATGGGGATTTGAGCCTTTTGAAGTCGACGCCTGCTCCAAACTTCAAGTCAGTGGTTGACAGCTGTGGAGCATCTTGTTTACATTATGCAGCAAGAGGGGATAAATTAGAAATTGTTGAGTACCTTGTCAAAAATAATGTAATAGACATTTTATGTCGTAGCAATGTTGGTGCCACTACAGCCCATGATGCTGCAGCTTCCGGCAGCTTTAACACTTTAAAATGGTTGATCCAGAATACTTCATATCCAGTTGACAATCAAGATGGTACAGGAGCTTCTGTAGTCCATCTTGCTGCACGTTTTACACATTTTGAAATGCTAGAATGGCTGCTTGATAACTCGAACTGTGATATTTTATTGAAATCAGCCAGTGGAGCCATTCCGTTACATTTTGCTGTAGTTGGGGGAGGTTTGGATTGTGTGAAATTGTTACTGGATGAATCTCCAAGGTTAGTGACTGTTTTATTGGATTTTTCATCATAGATCAATATAACATAATTTTTAAATCTGCAGCATGTCAAATAGATAGTCCTCTGTTTAGCATAGGGAACTCATAGAATGCTGCTGTTTTTCAATTCTTGATGTTAACAAATCTTAAGTTGCTTGCTTAGGATCGCATGTTCTGGAAAGCAAATATACAGTCGAGTAACCTAATTTCGTGGAAACCTATTATTCGTGGATTTCTGGAAAGGATTAATAATTTACATAGCGACCTTGCGCGACCTCCACATTAGTTTGTTTTAATAAACATGGCTTTTCTCTACAATATCAGCTAGTAGAATGAATTCAGTAGTTTCAAACAAGGTAAACTGTATTAATGTATACTTTGACAAATACAAAATGGCGGATTTCACTTAATACCAAACATCACCATTTTTTATCGGCTGAATTTCACTATAATCCCAAGCGGTAATCGGAATTCCAAGTGTCGTCTGCTAGAATGTAGTCCAACGAAAAAAGTCACGTGATCAACTAGCGGATTCCGTGTCAGCAGAAAATTTCTATGGAACACAAAGTGGACCATATTCTTATGTTGTTTCAGTAACTTTTAGCAATAAATCACGCTATGTATCTTATTTTGCCAGTCACTATTTTTTTTTTAAATCGTGGTTGTTTGAAGGAATTGTCACTAGTTATAATGAATTAATATTAAAGATAAATACTAAGAGAAGTTAATTATACCACCCGGTATCCATACAACGTGTTTTTCTCGACTTATTTATAGATCAAACATTGTACACGAAAATAGGTGACGCATTCTGCAGCCGTTGCCGAGTTGGTTGCTCATGAAATATAGGTCAAAGTAAAGGATTCATAAAGAAAATTGAAATAAACCAATTGTAATTATTTTGTAGAATATCTGAGGAAACACCTAAGACATAAAAAAAAAATTTCTTTTTTTCAACTTTGACGTAATTCGGTGTTGAATCCTTATATCCACGAAAATAGGTTACACCACTGTACCTTACCTGTACATATTGATAAACAAACGGTTGTCTACAAATTCCTTCTGTTTTTCAGATCAGTGAATGTTCAACTCAATAATGGTGTTACTGCTGCCTATTTAGCCTGTCAGGAGGGCCAGATAGAAATATTGAAATATTTAGTTCTGAATGCCAATGGTAATTTAAAGATGAATGCATATGATGGTATGACGTGTGTGCATGCTGCTGGTCAGCTTGGAAGATTAGAATGTATGAAATTTCTGGTATGTTTTCTGCTCATATTCCGTTAACTTCCAGAAAATTTCCAGAGATGAATTCATTATACAAGGGCAATGTCTAGATATTATATTCATCATTATAAATATTATAGGAGGAGTGTGTACCAGTTCCACAAAAACAGCAATTATGATTAAGCCCTATCTCCCAATGGCTGGTGCAATTCTGCCTTTGTGAAGTTTCAATGTATCTAAACTTATACAAGGGAACAAAACTCAATATTTGCAAGTTACTGGCATTTGTAATCACACAGAACTGTCAATCTGATTATATACCCCAAAAATTCCCTTTTTTTCTATAGGATACTTTATTTTAAAAATTATTTACCCACAATTTACTACTATTTTACTAGTTAACTTTTACTTATTTTTAGGTAAAGGATCAAAAAATTAACCCAAACCAAAGAGATTTTGATGGAAATACACCTCTGCACTTTGCTGCTAGTGGAGGATTTTATCAAGTTGTTGATTGGTTAATGAGAGAAGGCGGAGCTAAAGTCACGTTAGATAATTTAGGAGGAAGTCCACTACATACGGCAGTACAAATGGGACAAACTAAGGTAAGGAGATGTATAAATTGATTTGAAGTTAACATGACAGTATTGAATTCATATATTATACAAATACACAATATATTCTTGTTTCTGCTATACAATAAGATAGCAGATATTTTCATCAATCCAGATATTGCTATAAAAAGGAAGCAATTAATATGGAAGATACAGAGTTGAGTAAGATTTTTTGGTAAAGAATTGAAGGTGACAGAAAATAAACACCATACTTTGGAAGATGTATTAGTTGGAAAGAATGTGTTCTTATCTCTTCAAACAGATGGTAGCAAATCTTGTATATTGTTTACATGACCTTCATTTCTGCGTTATTCTTCAACCAAGGCCTGATTGGTCAGATATAAATAGTACCAATTTGTATTCTGGATTGAATGGTGTATTTATTACTATCGATTATACATTTTTTTGAAACAATATCTTACAACATGTTTAGGTTTTTATTATATATAACAATCTGGGTAGAGTACTACTAAACATGGCCACCATTAATCACTGATAAGCTGCAGAGAGTCAGCAGAAATTTATCTTTTTGAACTTAACAAAATCATCAGCTTGTGATCGCTTATATCAAAGTTCACCATAGTTTTTTGTGTTATATTTGTCAGAGATAGACAAAGGCCTAGATATAGGATTAAAACTATTTTTGGCATTTTTGTTTGTGACATTATTGTAGTGTTACTACTGTTTTTTATAATTTTTATAATGAAACTGGATTTTCAACCTGTTTTTGTCTCTTTCTACTATTTTTTCTTAAATTTGACCTTGATTTACCTGATTGTCATGAATTATAGTACTTGGAAAAACCACATCCGTTGTTTCTAAATTTATCAGTTTTCAACTCTTTAAGGTGAAGTGACTGTTTTTTTCATATGAAATGTTGAAATTGTCTAATTTGTAAGCATTCTTACCTTTAATGATAACTTTTAAAACATCCCTCAACTATCAGAAAATAAACAAGACAAGGCAAATGTAATTTTTTTGCCAAAATTTCCTCATTACCCACTGATTAGCATTTCCTTTAAGGAACAGAAAGTCAAAAAATCAATTTTATTTAGGTCATTTCTCTGCCCTTTCCATGAAGAATCTTTATCAGGCTTTATGAATTGAAATTTGACAACCAAACTTTTTTTCTGCATGGGGGTTCAAATTTGTTATTTTGTCTAATAAACCTGGTAAAGACTACTGTTCTGTTCACTTTAGTACATTTTGATACACATTTAACAAGTTATGCTTTTCAATAGCTGTCATGAAATTGCTTTGCATGTGTATAACCTTTTAGATGACCACTTCTCTTATAGTTTGTGTTGTTAACATTATAATAGCTAGGTGGGAAGGGAACCAATGTTTCTAACTAACTTGATGTATGTGTCATGTATGATAAAAGAAAGAAGATGTCTCAGCAATTAGGAAATCAAGTTTAAGATATTTCATGAAGCGGAACTTTCATTTGTTGATTGTCTACCTGAATTGTCTCTCATTATTATTGTCTGAGGTTATGTTAGTGAATGAAAAAGTTGTTTTGTTTTTAAAGAAAAAAAACAAGGGAATTCACGATCTGGAATTTGAAAATACAAATCATGAATATTAATGCCTCACATATATTTATATATATTTTAATGTCTTTAAAATTAAACTAGAAATTTCAAATTTTGCTATTATATAGTTAGTCCACCAACCAACTGACTGACTCAACGAAGGGACAACTGTCAAGGCTGAATTGAAATTCTGCAACTTTGACTTACTTTGAGAAGGTTTTATAGTTGCAAGTCTCACATGGGGCGTCTGAAAAATTCAATTGATTTGGTACATTCTGATCCATTTTTGGTGCAAAAAGGTACACAAATCAAAATAAAATTGGAATTTGGTTATTTTTGTGTCTTAAATTCATTATTCAAATCTTTTTTATAGTTTATTGTGGTTAAGTTTTGTTCTGAAGGGAAAACTTTGTTATAAATGATAGAAGATGGATGACCTTTGTAGAGAATACAACTTGTGATATTTAATGGATTATTAAATTTACTAATATATTTGATAATATTAATAATATTAATAATTGAATTTTTGAATTCATATCGCCGATTATTGATATATAATCAAGCTCTAACAATACCCCTCTCCTATTATACCATATTTTGTTTGTTATATAATCATTAGACTGTGTGATATAAATTACAAGACAGTTTATATTTATGTATATTTATTTTAAATATATGACTTTTCTTACCTTATATTACTGTATTTACCCTAAAAATATGAATCATATTGCAGATATTATTGAAACGAGATAGTAAATTATACTTTGACTATAAGGAAATACAAAGATAAAAGTAATTTGACTCATAGCAAACTGAGAGTCAGTTATCAAAATTTGAAAAGATTTTGGCTTAATAAGATTATATCAGATTAAATTTAATGATGCGAATTTCTGTTTTTGAAAATTTGCTACTGAATATATGATGACTAACAATTTGAAAATACAGTAGAAACTGTATAGACCACTCAAGAAGATAATAAATTAACTACCTTAATCTTGTGAAGATTAGCAAACTGCCAGTAGCCTATAATCCTGTTTAATCTCACCTCTATGTGAAAGCATGTGATGTTAAATATGTAAAGCACTGGCCAAGGTCACTAATAGAGAGATCTGCTAAAAATAGGGTTAATATTATAGTAAGTGCCTAGTTTTGAACATGAAAAACTAAACAGGTATTCTACAACAAATCTAATGAATAGTGAAATACAAGGAATATTCAGGTTGTCACAGTAGAATGTATTATGTTATGTATGGTATATGTTTTGTGTTAAGTATGGTGATTTATTAGACTGACTACGGTATATTCAGGTAGAATGTTTTATTATTGGTGAGTAGAGATTTGTCTATTCATGAAGCTTCATTGAAGATATTGTAGTTGATTCAATGAATATTATAATACTGTATTGAACTAAGATATTGCTTTAGTCATATAAATATCTTATCTTTACTAGAGAATTTTATTCAATGGTCAATGGATAAAGCATATGACAGGTTTTTGTCATTTTAAACACATATTAAGGTAAATAATTTTATACATCTAACACACTGTGTTTAAAATATTAGACTGTCATGATTATATACATCAAAGCTTAGAATT